AGTTGGTCGATCAGTAGCCCATGACGTTTGAACACATCGCGAGTTCGCATCGACAGAAAACGAGCTAGCTCGAAGGTAAACCATCTCCGAATCCTGTTATTAGTATGAAAAACTTTCAGGCGAACTAACGCTCTTTCGTCCTCAAAATTCCCCCGGCAAAAAGCTTCGTGCGCCGAGTGGTTGGCGATAGCAACGATGAGTCGATTGGTGCCTTTGCCAAGACCACCATTCGTTGAAAAAGCAGCAGTAAGGAGGGTAGATCTAGACGGGTTGAAAGTTCCCGCATAGTGATTTGCCTTACTTGCAGCTCGATCTTCGAGGGCTGATCCTGGCTTAAGGATCGACTTGTCGATGCTTCGACCTGCTGATGGGTTGACGATTGTTACGTCGATCAGAATGGACTTGGTGCAGAGGTCCTCTTCCTTCTCTCCTGCGTGTAATCCTGGGGGGATTACCAAATCCATCTTGTATAGCCCCTTTCCCCTACCAGTGCCTGTGGTAAAAGGGGAAGAATCCTCAACGGCGATGGGCATATGGCACTCGCGCAGTGTCTTGAGGACCACTCGAACCATCCTGTTATGGAGGAAGGTTGAGGCGCCGGTCTTGGTGCAGACGAGGGAGTGGGCTCGGCTCAAGCGGTCCTTGCATGGTAACAATGCACCTGCACCACAAAGTTTGCCTGTGTTGCAGTCTGCTCGATCGTGACTCCCCAGTACACGACCGATTGACTCTCGATATAGATCAGGCAGCATTCTTTCATCTGACAACCCTTGCGTGGTCAACCACGTGGATGTGTGTGTGTGTTTTTTTTTCGACCTATTTATTATGGCGACAGTTCCCCCATTATTCGTGGGGAGACGTACGTGGTACAGCAGAATGATTCTCGTCCCACTTTCTTCACAAGGTCAAAAAGAGTGTTGTACAGCAGTAGTCCCTCCGATGGTCACATGCCCCACCTTGCCTCGACTACCCCGGAGCACTTTTCCACTCGCTGTTACACAGCTGCACAATCAGTGCATCGCATGGTTACATGTTGTCTCACGAGATGCCGCGCAATGCATTCGTCTCCTACCGCCAGCCGTGCCGTAGAAAGGCTACTGTTAATATGATAGCCCTACTGCTGTACTGGCTGTACCGCGGTATTAGCATACCACAATCACTTGTAAGACAGCATCAACAACGAGCTGATAACCTAAAGTAGGCTTGTACTTAAGAGATTATACTAGCAAAATACTAATCCGTGTGATACCCAAGTCATTGCGCCTTATGTGCAGAAGCGGCTACGGTGCAAGAGACGGTCGGGACAAGCCAATTTCCCTCATTGAAATCCGGCGTTCTCTTATACCGTCTTTGCTACGGTTTAAGAGAACATTTTCTCAAAACTAATGTCGATAAAAGAGAGCATTCTCTTAAATCGCAGCAAAATCGAAATGCCCCGTCCAAGATGGACGCTCCTCATCCCAATAGTATGACGCAAGAGGTTGAGGAGAGCGTGTATCATTCATGTCACGAAACGCTGCATGCAGGCGTCAGCACCTTCGGCTAGCTCCAACACCGTTCATTCTGTTGGTTGGCGAACGTTTTACCCAAGTACGCGGTACGCTGTTGGCACCTGTGTTGAGAACATCAATCATGGTGTCGTGCAATACATTTTTTTAGGGAAAAAAATATACACAAAAGAAATACTTATTTTGCGCGTGTATGAGCTCTGTAGGGTTTTGAGTTGTAGATAGCTGTGCTTCTTGCTCGCACCTCTTCCAGAAGGACAACACGAGCCTACGGATGCACCACCACCACATGCCCAAGAACAAATTCACTCACTCACACGCTGAACCACTCCTACCCCGCCCACCCCCTGCACAAAAACCAACACCAACCCCAATCCCATCCATTTGAAGCCCCTGGCGTGTTGTCGGGGACAGCTGTGCATCGGCTGCCCGCTGCGCAGGGCATGGTGTCCGCGGCTGTGTACAGATGGGGCCCGCAGTTTAGAAAAATTCACTCAAGAACAAAAGGCTCAAACTTGTGCGGAACATAAGAAGAAAGGTCCAAGAACCACAGCTCAATCTAGGGCACATGAGAAAAGCCCCCCAAAAAAACTTGACCGATCGTGCGATATCCCAAGACAACAGGAAAGGGGTAGAAGCTGATGGAGCGTGTGCAAAGAAACCTCCCACTCACTGCTGCTGCTGCTGCCATGCTCCGACCTCCTACTACCTAGCTCATGTCAATGTCATTGTTTGGTAGGGGCGCAGTGGTTATCTGCGCCCCCCATCGCCCCAGCGCCGCCGCGGGCTGCTCTACCCGCTGCTGCTGTACTTGTGTACTGCCACAACCCCCAATGTTCGCCACGCCGAGCTGTCGGTTTACTGCTGCATGAAGGCTGTTGGTGTGTTGTTTTCTTCGCCATCATAGTCTAAATAAGAAAATACAGCAGGAACAGGAGAATCAGCTGGACGCAACAGCCCAGAGGAATACGAAATCCGTTTTTAGAAATTGACCAACGTCGGTTGGTCCTTCTGCCCAGAATAAGAAATTGAGGCTCGACATCTCCGGGCCCTATCTGTATGTGTGTTGTGTGATGTTCACTTGGTTTCCAGATGTTCGATTCAAGAGAAAGTCTCAGGAACAAAGGGAAAAATCTCTCTTAAATCCGGTTCAAGAAAAAATCTCTCGTAAATCCGGTTTAAGAGAAAAATTTCTCCTAAACCCGTTGGGTGCGGACAAGCCAATTTCGCTCTCTTAAATCCGTGCTTTGTCCTAAACATTTTCCCTTAAACCGTAGCCGCTACTGTATCGGGCTTTGATTTCAAGTGTTCGGACGGCAAGAGTACAGACTGTGATTCCGCTCCTCGTGCCGCGGATGTGATGAACGAGTACCATGGTACACAAAAGTGGTCTTGGCTTAACCCTCAACTATTGTTGCCAAGACGAGGTGTCTCAAGTAAGTGTTGTCCGTTTTTGCCTCCAGCCGGTCTTCTCATCTTGCGATGACGCCGCCGATCCCTTCACGTGCAAACCGTTTGCTTCGCAAGCACCATGTTTGCCCGTGTGTGCGTGCCATCTGAATGCTTTCGCGCCTACCGTTAACGTTACAAGACACCCAAGGAGACTGGACACCATGGTGGGAGGACCCCGATAGGGTTGTTTGTGTTGGAGGATTCGAATAGGGCGTTTTGGAAAAAGAGCGCTTGTATCGTTGTTTTGTTTGCCAACTCTCTGTGTCGCGCCTGACGCCGGTAGCTTGTGAAGGCTGTTTTCCCAGCGTCGAGAGCACGGCGATCACACGTAGTAGATACGAAAGTGCTGCTGCCCATTTTTTGGTGCTCCAGTTGACACCGAGAGCAAGAGACCGCGTTTGGACATGTACCCCGAAGGCTCGTCTCTCTCTCTCTCTCTCTCTCTCTCTCTGTCTCTGTCTCTGTCTCTCTCTCTCTCTCTCTCTCTCTCTCCTCCCGCCTCTGTGTACATGTTTCCTCCTTGTTTCAAGAGTCTGAGACAATTGAGAAGCTACAGTATTACTGCTCACGAGGGCATATGGATCTCTTCGCCTTTGTCACGTTTCGTCTTGTTGTCATTAGTGCTCTTCATGCTCTGACCGTTGCTGTGGCCGCTAAGGCTGCTGTCAATTCCCCCTTCGATGCCTACCTATTCACCTACTTACTTCAACAAATCTCTCCCCCTGCTCGAAAACACAGGTGATACAGGAGGGGATCGTCCTCGTTCACGATGCGCGCCGGTTCGGGGTGAGCGAGAGGGGGCTCTGGCACCTCGACCGCCTCCACTCCCGTGCCTTCCAGCCGCTAGCAAGGCAAGCTGTCGCGGACAAACGTCTGTACATGAAACTTATCCTGTGCAAGTACTTTTGGGTCGGCGGGGCGTAGGAGGACGTCCTCCCGCCTCCCACACCCTGCACGTTTCCCCTGTAATGTTTTCCGACACTGGCGTCACGAGTACACACGCCAGCCTGTTCACATGATCACCCCCCCCCCGGTATCATCCCCCTAACCCCGTACCCCCCGCCGTGCGTGTCCCTCGATAACGTTCACGCCAACTCCCGCCGTCCGGTGCTTCGCCCACACAACCGGCCGCCATATCTGAAAAGGTCGGCGGCAGCTGCGGCTGGAGCCCCGGCCAGGTTGAGGGCTGGTAGCGGCGGTGGCGGCGGCTGGGGTGGTGGCTCTCCCCCTGCGCCTGGCCATCCGGCGGGCGTCTTCGACATTGGCGACGACGACCTGACGCTGCTGGATGCCAACTTGATCGTCAGCAGCGTTCCCAGCGGCGGCGGCAGCCGGCGTGCCCTGTCGTCAGCGGATCAGACGCAGCCGCCGCCGCACTTGTCGGGCACGAAGCGAGCTGCACCCAATGCCGCAGCAGCAGCGGCACGATTGCTGCGGAACACCAACACCAGCAGCAACAACAGGAGTGCCACTACCATCGGCAGCGACGGCAACAACAACCATCAGGCGGCAACAGACAGGGCCCCGCTCGGGCGGGCAGGCGGGGGGGGGGGTGATGGTCTCGCGCCGCCGNGGCAACAACAACCATCAGGCGGCAACAGACAGGGCCCCGCTCGGGCGGGCAGGCGGGGGGGGGGATGATGGTCTCGCGCCGCCGGGCGGGGTGGCGATGGGTTCCGGCGGCGGAACTGGTGCAAGCTCGGCGCTGGAGGTGTCTTCGAGATCCGCGCTGTGGTTCGCGCACAGGAAGTACCGGCTGGTGGTGTGCCTGGACCTGAGCACCAGCATGTGTACCGGGCGGTGGTGGGGCATACCGGTCGAGCTCTTCGTGAAGAACACGATGAAGTATATTCAGGTTCGCTTGACTCAGCTCGCGGCTCGGGGGGGG